ATATATATTTTTCAACTTTTAGATATGCAGTTCCAGATTTTCCTCTATCAGTTCATACATCTATTGTATCAAATGAATTAAATACTCTTATAAATGAACTTTTAAAGGGTATTATATGATTCATTTTTATATATTAACTTATTATTAAATTAAATTTATTTAAAATGCTTCATGCTTAAAATTTAATTTTAGAATCAAGTGATATAAAAAATGAAATAGAATTTGACTTTTTGGTGTGTTCCCAATTTTTACGTACTTCATTGATTGAACATATAACAGAGAAAAATATTTCTACAGAGGATGTAATAATTATTGAATATGTTGAAAAATATCCACCACCTGAACCTCAAGATTGTCTTATACATGATGATTGGGTATCTGCTATTGCTGTTTGTGAGAAATGGTTACTTTTTTTATTTATTTAAAAATAAGATGTTAAAAATTATTTTACATTAAAAGATATTTTAATAGGATTTTAACAGGTTGTTATGATAATACATTACATATATGGACATGTAAAGGAAAACATCATTTGGTAATTCCTGGACATACTTCACCAATTAAAGCAGTTGCATGGATATCTTTGACTAATGATACAGCTAGTTTTGTTAGGTATAAAATTAACAAAAATAAAACAAGCATTTTCAAATAATTCTTATATTAATTTATTATTTAAGTGCATCCCAAGATCAAACAGCTATAATATGGGACTGGAATATTATGGAAAATTCAGTAGATTGTATTCATGTATGCAGAGGACATGAACGTGGATTAGAAGCTGTTAATATTAATTATGATAAGACAGTAATGGCAACTGGAGCATGGGATACAATGCTTAAAATCTGGTCTACAGGTATTTATGTATTAAAAACAAAATAAGTAATTCATAAAATAATATTTCATTTATGCTTTTAGCTAATCAAGATGAAAATGAAGATGGTGAATCTACTTCAAAGAGATTAAAATCAGAACATGGAAAAACAAGGGTAAATAAAATAAGTGAATATATAAAATATGTTTTTAAATAAAATTAATTATTATGATATTTATTATTATACCATAAAGATACCTAAAAGAACAATGAAAGGTCACAAAGAAGCCATTAGTGGTGTAGTATGGTCAGATAAAATAGAAATTATAACATCTTCATGGGATCATACAATAAAAATATGGGATTCAGAGTTAGGAGGAATTAAACATGAATTGACTGGAAATAAAAGTTTCTTTGATCTTGATTTTTCTCCATTAAGCCACACTATTATAACAGCATCAGCCGATAGGCATATCAGATTATATGATCCAAGATCTACAGGTTTTAAAATCGTTTTTCAAATTGTATTCATTGTAAGTTGCAATGAGATTATATATACATTTTTTTTTTTAGAGGGATCATTGGTGAAAGCAATATTTACTTCTCACACACAATGGGTACAATCTGTAAGATGGTCACCTATACATGAAAATCTTTTCATTTCAGGAGCATATGATAATGATATGAAACTGTGGGATATCAGAAGGTTTAATAATCATAATTTCACAATATTTATGAAATTATGTAAAGATATAAATATTTCTAAAAAAAAATTTAATTTTTTCTTATAGTCCTAAAGCACCATTATTTGATCTTTCTGGACATGAAGATAAAGTATTATGTTGTAATTGGTCAAATCCTAAATTCATGGTATCTGGAGGTGCAGACAACACCGTAAGAATATTTAAATCGAAACATATTATTCATTAATAACAAATTATTTTATAACTTTTACATATAATAGAAAAATGAAATAATCTTCTGTATAACAAATTATTAAGGATAAGTTTTTTTTATAATTTTCATATTTATTATACTCTAAATCAAGCACTGTAATCATTTAAATAGAAAATTTAATGTTTTGCTGTTGTGAAACATTGAATTATAAAATTATTGTATTCATTGTAAAATTGTAAAATAATCAAAATTAAGATGAAAATTTTAATTGCAACAACGTAATTTGAAATAAACTATATAAATGCAAATTAAAATGATGTATAAAGAAATTACAAATATTTTCGTATAAATAAATACATACAATCAATAAAATTAGAAAATATAAAATATAAAAAAATATTGTATATCCTAAGAAAAAGCTCTCTGCATCAAATCAAAATTCGTATTGTTTTTATTTCAAGTTCTTTTTATGTCGTGTTGCTTCTTTTTAATGTTACCCTTGTATTTTACATTATAAAACCATCACTTAATTGACAAAAGAGATCTAGTAATCGTTCTTATACATTGCCATCACTTCTTT